ACCGATGCGCAGCCGTTGACGATATGGCTCTAGCCCGTCGTACCTGGAGGGAAGGCGATTTTTGTAGCCTTGGGCATACTCCTTGCGGTGCGTGTTCTGGAACGACAAACACGTCCCACGCTTGCTCATATTTCACAGGCCACCGATGGAGTTGAGCCGCGTCGTGTCGCGCTCATCGAGCTTTTGGAGCAGCTGAAATCATTTAACGAGAGCTTGGTAGTCCGACTCGCGAAGCCGGCTGAGCTTGGGCGGGCATCCAAGATCACAGTCATCGCCATCATGGCGTGCATTCTCGACATCTTCTTAATTGCGACAAAGCTCTTCTCTCCGTCTGCGTGGCGTACACGTATCTGTGCGTTCTTGTTGGTCTCTGAGAACTACGTGACGCTGACGCTCGTGCAGCTCTCTTTCATCAAGCGATTACGAAAGATCAGAGCATCCAGGACGCGCTGAAACGACTACAGTCGCTCATAAACATGGACATGCGCGCCATCGCCACGGAGACGCAAGCCACCGTGGAAGAGATTCATGCCGCTATCGCCGCTATCAAAAAATCTCATGGGGTTGGCATGTCTGAGCTCGAGGCAATGAAAGAAGGTGACGCATTAGTGCTGGTCACGGCGGTCAATGTCCGACTCTGACCATGATGCTCGGTACAGAACTTGATCGCTTCCTCGAGCGCGATGTATGTGGACTTGAACATCCGTGTCTGTATGAGTACTGATAAGTAGTAGCGCCAGCGGAGTACTGCTGCCAATACCTCGAGTGTGTTTTATTTTGAGATGATAATCAGGGTGCGTTTCTGACGGTATTCGTTAGGGCTACTTGGGATGCTCGATCGCGTGGCTTCTGCGGACATCGATGCCCAAAACTCAAATGGCTGTCTTGATGGCACCCGTGTCGACCTCTTACGCGACCTCATGCTTTGGGCTCGAGACTCTCGCTCACCGCGCATCTTCTGGCTCAACGGCATGGCGGGCACCGGAAAGTCCGCCATAGCTAGGTCTTTCTCCCGCAATCTACGCTCGGAAGGTCTCCTCGGTGGCACCTTCTTTTGCTATCGCATGATCGCCGACCAGGCCGAGGCTAAAAGGATCATATCTACGTTGGCAGTCTCTCTGGCGTTGCGCGACTCCCACTGCACCGAGGCATTACTTGCCGAGCTCGGCATTGAATCGTCTGTTCGCGAATGGAATCTTGAAACACAGGTCAAGCGTCTATTATGCAAACCTTTTGGTGGCATTGAGCATGATGATGATCCCATGCCGATAGTGGTTGTAGATGCCCTCGACGAATGCTCGGACGAGACGGTCACGAGTGATCTACTATCCAAGTTGATAGATTGTGTCGATAGGCTGCCTGTCAAGTTCTTCTTGACGTCCAGGCCCGAGCCGCATATTCGAGAGAATCTCGAGAACATACGTCCTGATCTCGGCGATCTTGTGCGACTTCATGATATAGAACACGTCATTGTAGGGAATGATATCTCTCGCTTCATCTCACATTCTCTTCACAACATGCGCAAGAAGTTGCCTATTGCGACTCTCCCCAGTTGGCCACCACAAGCAGACATCGAGACACTCTCTCGTCTATCTGGACGGCTGTTCGTTTATGCATCCACGGCCTTGCAGTACATTCAGAGAAACCCCGTGGAGCGTCTTTCTAGACTCACGGGTGCCGTTGTGACCGCTGGTCATGTCATGACTCGATCGCTAGACGACATGTACAAGCTGATCCTGTCTGATGCAATGAACACAGACGAATATGAAGCAGATGAGATCGATCTGACCTGCCGGATGATAAGTGTCATCGTCTCTCTTCATGAGCCTTTGACTGTTATAGCATTCGCTCGTCTCCTTGGTGTTTCAGCGACCTGCATTAGAGGTTCATTAGACCGGCTGTACGCTGTGATTTATGTTCCGTCACAGGATGACAACGGGTTCTTGTCGACATTCCATTACGAGTCATCCCTGACTCGTTGATTTACCATGGATCTGAAAAACCGTGCCTGAGCGATTGGCAACTTTAGGCAGGAGTTTCCCACGCTTTGCGCGTGCCGCGACTTCCTGCTCAATCTGGAAATTTTTCCCACAGGCTGTACTTGAGACTTAAATCTCAACTATATGCTTGAGTCCATAAGTGTACTGATCTGATCTGTCATCTTATCTGACTATATGATCTACAAGAGTCAGCAGAATGAGAACTACTGAGGGAAAGGGATTGTCAATATGTGTACTAGTTGCTCCTACCAAGTGCCTACTTGGCACAGTCTCACCATCAATCCGGAGATCGGCCATCAGCTCACTAGCCTGCTCCCTGCTCCCAACCTCCTGCTGGCTAGGTCTAGTGGCTATATTATACCTTCTTGTTTTAAACCCACCTGGGGCTCAAACTAACACATTTCATCACATCATGTTGAATCTGAAAGAATTAGAGCAATGTCGTCCATACTCGTGGCGCTAGAGACTTTGTAAAGTTCCAGCTGGCAGTCTGCTTGGGGCCAGCATCGAGGTTTGGTATGTACCTGTGGTCGGATTCTTCTGTTCTTCTGGAAATATTTGCTTTCATATACATAGTATTTGATTTTGAATTTTACGGGAGTACACAGGTGCTGGTTCCCGTACACCCCCACAATCTCTTTAGGCTCACCTGCTCCTCCCCTCCCCTGGCCACTGTGCGGTTTCCTACCGCTACCTTACCTCATTGAGTGGTACATAGAGATTCTTTGGTACAGAGAACACGACTGTGCTATCCGCTTAGTGTGCTGATACTTTGTTCTTGAGCTTTGGGCATGTTACCCCCACGTGG